CAAAACTCACGCCCTAAATAGTCCACTCATCCCTGAATCACACACACAACTATAGTTAACCATAAAGTCAAATCTATGAAGTTGTAATGCCAAAAGCAGGTATCTCTTTTTTTTTTTTTTCCCCAAAAATGTTTCTTACTGATATCACTTTGAGAAAACATTTTACAGATTAATTCAGAGCATGCACCAAGTGTCATTAACTGAAATCAGGGAAAGGTCAGGATGAGGTGGGTTTTTTGGGTGTGGACTTTTGGTTTTGTATGTTTGTGGGTTTTAAATATCTTTCTTCACAAGGCTTTGTCTTTTTCTCCTGCTCTCCCACTCACAATCTCCCTCCAATTTCCTCTGCCTGGAGCTAATTTGACATTGAACCAGGAGACACATAGGCTCTCAAGGCATCCAGCTGCCTTACTTGAGCCCAACAGTTACAATAGAATATATAGAAATATACAACCCCCCCCCAATACTCCAACATAAAACTACAACATGTCGCTGATAGTGTCGGAACGGCCAAAGCGACACGAAAAAAGGTTCCAGTAAAGTTTATTCCAAGAAAAAAGCAGGGACACCGGGGCTGCTTTCGCAGCCCCTTAAGTACAGTTTTTGCACGCACGTAATTCACACGGATAGGACAGTTCAAACTTTCACACCAGAATTTTTACAGCTAATAGGTGCATTTTCTAAACTCTACTTTCTCACAACAACTTTGCTCTTTCTCAAAACAGCCCATTTCTTTCCCACAACAGTCCTGAGCACCTGCTCTTATTTTTCTCTCATGTTGATGTTTTTCCCAACTACTCTCATTCAAAACAGGTCCTTGTTCTCATGAGACAGTGCTCCTGTTTTCATGAGACAGTGTTCTCTGTTCCCACGGGACAGCTTCTTCAGGATGCATCAGTATGTTGTCAGGATCAGGGCCTCCATTTTCAGTCCTCTCTTTTCAGGCCATCTCAGGGGTATACTTTGATCTGGTCAACATCTATTGCTTCGTCAGTATGTGCCAAGGTGCTAACAGACCCGCTGTCACCCCTGACAACAACACACCAAAAAAAGCAAAAAAACCCAACCAAGCAAAACACCCAGCTATTGTTCTCAATTTAAAGTTAATTACACTCTGCAGGTCCATCAAGTCAGGTGTCAAGAATGTTGTGGTACAGCACAGACATCTTTGACTTGGCTCTGAGCACCATAGCAAATCCACTGACCCCAGGAAAACAGATCTGTCCATAAACTCGGAGTTCAGCCACAGCCATTACCAGTCACCCCTCCTCTACCTGTAAGAAGATTGGGCCACACACTGGTACAGTGCAGAAATACACAGGAGCTGCAGAGTTGGATAGGTAGAGTTAAAAGATAATTTTTGTGGTCAGGTGACAGTCATATGTCAAATATTGATACTCTTCAAACTCTCCATCTAGCAAAGGTGAGTGATGGAAGACCTCCTAACATTTTCTCCTCCCCTTGCCTTGGAAGAGACAGCCTTCCACAGTCAGAACCAACCTATGGTCTCTGTGTCTGTAACTATCACCGCAGCAGCTGCACCACCAAAAGCATTTCCCTTTACACTGCATTGGGAAGTCAGGAAATGTTAACTGCCCAGCCCTAGAGTTTCTTACTTTTCTATTAGGCTATAAAATCCTCCTTTTCTTACCTGACATACTCTTCCAAAAGACCGTGGGTATCTGAATTTCTGAAGAATATCACTTTCAGAGGTCTGTCATTATTTTTGTTCAGGAAGGACACCAAGGCATTATATAATCTCAGTATACAGGATAAGTCTGCCCATGGAAAGAAGACCCCAGCAATTGAGATAGGAAGGTTAGGACCACTCATAGGTCCTAAGGACAAGAGCTAGGAACACTCCTACTAGAAAGAGGTGGAAATGATGCTTTAGAGACAGGTGTTATTGCTAAAGCAAATCTCCTTCAGGCCTGATGTCAGCCTGGGGGTGGGGAGTTAGGGCTGCACTAGCAGCACCTGAGAAAATGGGTGGTTGCTTGATAAATAACTGAATTACATTCCTTCCCTTCCAAATCAAACCTTTACCATGTTGGAGAAAAACAAAAGGGGTGTTTCACAGGCCCCTGTCTTTGCATCCTAGGTGTACTGGGACCAGTTGCTCAACTTTTTGCATTGACTCATGTGAAAGCATAAGGTTAAGTCACCACTGAAGAAGCAGCTGGGCCTATGCTGGAGTAACAGGTGTGGGTACAGGTACAGGGTGCTTCTACTCAGCTGGAAGAGAGAGCCATCAGGCAATAACTCAGTGATGAGTATGAGTGAAGAGTCTGCTCCTCTATTTCAAAATCCATGAGCAGATGCATACTGAAGAACTCAACTCTCATATTCATTCTAGCTAGTAATTAGAAAACCAGTATTTTTTTGTTTTCAGTGGATTGCAAATGTCAAGTATTATATTATTATTCTCAACGTCAGTTACATAAATAACATTGCATTTTATTCTAGCCAGTGAAAAATATGCTTCTTCTTAAGTATAAAATGTCATACAAATGCTACAAGTGTACACACTGGGCACTAGCAGGTTAAGGTCTCATCTAGTTGTAGTCTCAACTGACAGAGGAGGTTGTGCTGCTCCTCACACTTCAGTCGTTAATCAGGAGGGGGAAAAAGAGAGGGATGAAATGTGTTTCCAAGATTACATCTTGCTAGCTGGTTATTAGAGCTCACATCTTACTCCTGCCAGCTCGGGGAGGATGACCAGGGCAGGCGTCTGAGCCAAGTTCAGGAGAAGCTGTTCACTCTGTAGTCCTTCTTGTCTCTTGTGGTAGTACAGGAAAGAATTACTTTCTGTCAGCATGGCAGTGATGAGGAGATAATCACAGAATCAAAGAAGGGTGAGTGTCAATCACAGAATCACAAAGAGAGGTTTATGCAGTCACTTTAAACAACAATCACCTTCCATGGGCTAAAAGCTCCTTAAAGAAGCCAGCTTTAGGAACTATTGTTCAGAGGTATGTACTAATGCCTTCCTCAGCCGTTGGTGAACATATTGCAGCAATGTCTTTACAAGGAATAATTAGGCAAAAACATATATTTATAGTTAATTATTATGTTAGGGCAGCAAGAGCAGAGTGAATTCCAAATGTAAAGTATTTCCCCCCCTTCCTTTCCATATGGATTATATTAACCCCCCTGGTGTTTGCTTATACCTCTTGGGAGCCTTTTCAAAGCGTTCTCAGCTCTGGGATTTAATGAGTGGCATTGCTGACGTGAAGAATTAAAAATGTAAAGCGTATTTGCCACCTCCTGTTTTAGATTAGCAACAGAGAAAATAGTCCTTGACCTGCACATAAAGCCAGAAGGTCCCAGGGGATGCAGCTGCAGTGTGAGAAGAGAGCCCATGGCAGGTGGGACAGAAGCAGAAGTCCCTCTGGAGCTACAGGAGCAACCGGAGGAGAGGGAAGCTGTGGATGATGGCCCTGTCAAATGCTCATTGCTGGCAAGGAAACGTGTTGAAGTGTTATTTCAGGAGACAAGAGGAGAGTGTTTTGTCTACAGGCCAGGTAAAGGATTGGACTACAGCTTAATTAATATCTGCAGTTGTTAGCAATCAAGTGGTTTGAGAAAATAGTAAAACCCAATGATTTTCACTGAATGTTCCTGTTGTACAAAACTAAAAATCTTTACTTAAAACAATGAAGAGAACAAGAAGTGTGGGGTTTTTTCTACTCTAACAGCTCTAGCGCTTGCTTTCTGAAGTGGCCTACAGACATTTTCCAGACACCATTCTACCTATTTTCCAATTCATCTTGTTTACTGAGTACTTTTTAAACCCTCAGGGCTTAGCTATCAAAGCAGTACTTATAAAAATGGTCTCTCATGACATTTTTGAAGGATATTCTCAGACATCAGGGCTGCCACACCACTCTTGCATGACTAGAAACCAGAATAAATTCCTAGTATTTTAACTTTATTTTTGTACTGTTCTTTTGGTAAATAGAGCAGTGTAATTCATAGGTACTTAACCTGAGACTTAGGTGGCAGAGGGACATTTGCCACAGGTTTAAAAAAATCTTGAGACAGTGGTGGATTTTTTTTTCATTTATGGTTTCAATTTTTGTCAGAGCACCTTCTTGCTTTTCCTGCTCTGAGTCACAAGTTTGTGCAGAACAGAATGTGGCTGCTGCAGTAATTTATGTAAGGGTTTATTTATGTGCCTTTATGGAGATAAATCTGCACAGTGGTTTGGAAGGTATTTTTTCCCAATTGATTATAAGTTCTGGCCTCCTGCAAATAACTTTTGATGTTACTATGAATTTGCTGGTTTTGTGGCTACACTGGTAAGGGAGAAGTGTCTGTAGGGCAATTCCTCCTACACTAATGCCAGTCCTGCTGGACTTTGGCTCCTCATATTCAAGCATCTTTTGTTCTCCAAAGGGCATTCCTTTTCAACACCATGAGCCTGCTTGGTTTCCTAGACAGTTTGGATTTCCCTTCACATAATGGTGCAAATTAAGTGTCTCTGTCCTTCAATAAAATTGGAAAATGTGTGACTGTCTCTTACTGGCAAGAAGCACAGAAGTGAAAAAGGACAGAACATGGACTGAAGTCCCTGGATATTTTCCACCATCCGGTTGTTAATGCTTGCTGCAGCTCCTCACTTCCCATGCTGGCTGCCAAGAGCTCAGTCAGCTCCAAACACAGGGTTAAGGGGATGGCTGGGTAAGGGACGGCTGGGCTGCAGCTCAGTGCTTCTACTCAGTGCTTTCTTTGCTCTAAGGAGACACTGAAATAGTTGTGCTTCCAGCATCTGCTTCCTCTTAGACATCTATTTTACTCCTACATTTGACAGATGGACCAGTGATGGGGAGATGAGTGCTGAGAGCCTCCAGCTAATTTCACTGATTTGGAAACATAACTGAGAAATACATATATTTTTATCCCTCACTTCTTTCACAGGTGTTCTACTCCTTCATTCAGCAAAGGCCAGAGCTACAAATCAAATTTGAATTTTGTTTAGGGAGGAGTGGAGTAGAAGATAGAGGTGTGGCTGATGTAAACCATTTCACTCATTTTCATGTTTCTACAGGCTTGAATATTTCAAACACAATTAACAAATATATTCTTAGTGCAAAGACTGCTTCTGAAGTAGAAGGAGCTCTTTTTTTATTTCTGGCTGAATTTCTGACTCTACACTGAACACGCAGTAAATAGTTGAGATTTCTCTCAGATAGCTCTTGGCTTTGTTGGTCAGGCAACACAGTAATTCTGTCATCATACTTTCCTCTGTTCTTGGGGTTCTTGCAAGTTTTCCCTTCATGCATCTCCAATTCCAAAACTTGCAGTGAAGCTATTCTCACCTTCTGCCCTGCCTGGAATTCACAGGCTGTATGTACTACTGTGAATCAGCAGTAATTAGATGTCATCTGTAGGAAAGACAGTGGTAAAGGAGTTGAAGGTGATTTATCAGAACACTTTTAGTAGCAATATCATAGTGGAAAATCATCATACCTGAGTCATCAGGTCCACTTCACAGTCTCAGGCCATCGTGTAATAGATATCTATCCTAAAGGCTTTCTGGAGTAGTCTGAAATACCCTATCCCATTATATTTAGACTGAAAATTGAAGCACTATGGAAGGGCAGGGATAGTGCCTACGTGCTGTGAGCAATTTCCCATTGTCAACTGTCAAACGTTCTTCTCTTGATTCTCTCAAAACACAGCACTGTAGTTAGAAATCGTTTGAATCTGATGAGTCAGTGCACGTAGTATTATCCTGGCACAACTAAGGCACTAGCAATTAAACCTTATTCTCCAGTTGTTCTACCCTTTTAATCACTGCCAGTTCTCATGTGTTTCTGGCTTCTGCTTGCTCTGAAGGAGCTGGAGGCAGATGACCAATCGGGTGTCACAGAGATGTGCCATCCTGATGTCAGTCTAGCAGAGTTAAAATCTACTGTCGGATCAAAAATGATATGATTTATATAATGAATCCACCATGGGGTTATGTTGCAACATCCATTAAAACAAGAGCAAAACAGCACTGCATACCAATACCATAAAAGGAACTACAGCTAGTTGTGTGATTGGCTTAGTTAGTGTTTGTTATAAATTACAGTAATTAACAAAGTAAACTAAAGTTCAAGTAATTTCTTCCAAAATGTAACTATTTCTGATTTCTTTTTAAAACTGTAAGGCTGGGAGTAGCTCTTTATGGAGCAGAGGGGGAACCACCACTGGACTGGGCTGCACAGAGTAGATTGTTCTGCAGGACATGGAAGTCTGCAGGATTCCTGTACAGCCCTACCAGCAGTCTAACCCTGTGTGCAGGATCTTCCCCTTCTGGTCTACCCTTCCAAACAGAGCCTGGTAATTACGTGATATTTTATATGAGACAAATCAGTAAAGGGTCAGCATGAGAACAAGAAACTTGTAGTTTGTGGCTTAAAGAATGTAATGCTTAACATATTTTGCCTACAAGTATTTTACAGCAATGACATGCTGTCCTCACAGTAATTTGTGAGGCCAAGTGGATAATCTTTCCTTATCTCCTAAATATGTTTTGTGTAATACCCTGAACAACATTTACAGATGCTAATAAAACCAGTATATTTTATAGAAGTTCAAATTTTACAAAACTACATTTCATTATTTGTTTGCTTAGTATAAAGATGTTATATTCTGCAAATACTCACTTTAAGACTGACAAGATTTTGAAGACATCTCAGAATGCAAGTGCTGGGCTTTTAATGTAAGCAGAAGAGACCGTCTGAATGCCAAGTAGGGAAAGATACGAGTGGAATGAGAGTGCTGTGGCCGTGCAGGGGGAGTCAGATCTGAGAGCAGACGTGAAGGCTGCTAAGACTGTAACTGGGTCTTGAACACGCAACAGCTTTTCCTTACGGTCAGAATTGAGACTGCTTGTGCTCTTCCTAAGGGGAAACAAGACATTTCAGGAATATCTCTGTGAAAACTAGATGATTATAGAAACCATTCAGGTTACCCAATATGAAAATGTGTGTCAAGTCTTCCTCCTCTCAGTAACTTACTTTACATTTTATTTAATTGTACTTCAAAAATTTCTCTCAAACAAGTGCTGCCAAATACCTTGCTTCTTTTCGTTTTTTCCCTCTTTTGATTTTTTTTCCTTAAAATTCTGAATTAAAACCTACATATTTCCTTTTAAGATTCCCATTTCTGTTAAATAAAAGAAAGAGAAAGATGGATAAAAGGACAATAGAGAGAGACTAAGATTAAATGGAAATGGGCTTTTGGTAGCTTGGCTGTGGTAACCCCACTGTTTCCTCCCTCTTTGCCTCTTAAGGACTGAACTGCAAACACTGCCTTTTGCAAGCACATGGAGTTACTGAGTTTTCTGCTCAGTATGTTTCCGTCCTCCAGGACTCTGACAAATTGCAGGCACTGCATACTGTGAGAAGCATCCATAGTGTACAAAGCCAGCCAATGCCCCCATCAGCAGTTCAGTGTTAGCACTTCACTGAGACCACACAGAATGGTGGATAATTCAGATGGCAAATTTGCCAGGTGGAGCATAAGCTGAGGGAGCTCTTGCAGCCACTGGTGTCCTACACTCTCATTTCTAGATTGTCATTAGCTACCTCCAATGGAAGGCATCCAGTTTCATTCCATTTCACATCCAAGAAAAATTGAAAAATATCTTCTAGGAGCATCTCATGCCCATGAGCTAATGTTCCCTCCAGATCTAAGAGAAAATGCTTGGAAACATCTTTTTCAGGATATTCCATTGTGCAACATAAAAAGAAAATTTCCTTGCATATAATAAAAAAATGAATATGTCTTAACACTGTTTAAAGTATCAACCTGTCTTGCCCTGCCCTATGAACACTTAAATATTTTTAAATTGCTCTTGGATAAAATGCACAAGCAATTCCTGAAGATGTCCGGGGGGAATGTATTCCTCCACTTATCTGCAACAGGATTGAGATTTCTCACAACTGAGGTACCTTTGGGGTAGGCACTCCCAGAACTAGGCAATTGTGAAATGCTAACAACAGAATCTGAAGCTGCTATAGACAGCATCTGCCTGTGGGCTTAAGCAGCAGCTAAATGGGAATCAGGAGAGCAGAGGGATTCGGATACTAAAGTTCCTTTCTGGATCTGAACCTCAGTGCAATGAAGCTTCCACTGGATTTCAACAAGGGGCCTGTTGTTTGACCTCTGGTTCTTCCTTCACTTTCAAAAGAAAGGTGGATGCATAGTAAGGTTGCCATATGCCCCTGATAATACTTGAAGTAGAGATAAAGGGATTAATGGTTAACTTGTATGCACTTGGCGGAAACTGATTTTCATGGAGAAAATGGCAGATTCCCTCTCAGAAATGTATACAGTATTTGCCTTTTCCAGAAAAAAACACAGCTAATTTCTGTATACAGGTTTGCAGAGTTCCTGTACAGTTCTTAGGTGTGATAAGTTACATTTTTTTCCAAATATGGATAGATTTATTGAGCATTTAACAATGGCTAGAAGCCATTTCAGTCTACACTGAGACATGTATCTAAACCTTGTTTAAATGTAGTCAAGATGCCAAAAAGTATTTTTCCCTAATAAGAAATAAAGCATAGTCATGTGTTGTTCTGATGTCAGTGATGCTGATGTAGCAAAATATATATTCATAAATTTGTTTCACTAGAGAGTACTATAAGGACATGACTACCAAATTTCCAAGAAGATGCCACAACAGATCCCATATTAAACAATGTTCCAGCTTCATTTTCAATGAACAGGGTTTTCTTTTTAATTTAAAAATGAAACATCATCTGAAATATACATGCACTTACCCAAGTCGTGGATTAATCAGGCCCTGCCTTCAGCCACTGCCTTTATTATGCCTTCATAACAGAAAGTATTTTATGCTCACCTAAAACACAGCTTCATCTACTTTTATCTTTTTAGAGAGCTGATGGCAAAGGTGAACACACAGTACGTTCTAATAGCCTCATTTACATATTTTTTTATATCACGATTCTTTTGCTTTATCTAGGTTATCCCACCTCATCCTTATTCTGGATAATTGAGCAGTGAGTGTACAGCAGAACTGAGTAATGAAGAAGAAATATCTCAGGCAGAGACTGTACCCCCAGTTGCTTCCCAGGGACTTTCAGGGAGGCTGAAGAGAACCAAAAGTGTTCTAAGTCAGGTTTGCACCTTCTGGATCTGGTCCCAGCATAAGAAGAGCTCAGTGAGGGGAGCTCATTGTGGCTTTTGAGCAGCACAGTCTCCCTGAAGTTAGTGGGAGACTTAGTTGGTCCACAGAGCGCTTTGGCCACATTTCTGATTATCCAGCTTGTCCTCTAGACCTTTCCTGAGGTCAGTCTGAGTCACAGACCGACATGTGGGACTACAGGGACAGTGCAGATGGGCAGACTATTGGGAACCATGGCTACATAAGGCTTCACAAACAGAGCAGGGAAAGGAGGGGTGTATCTTCTGCCCAGCCACTTTATAGCACAAAGACTATCAAGTCCCCAAAATATACAGGGTCAGGTCATGGGTTTAAAAGCATAGATATTAAGATTATGAGAAGGAACCACGATTTTAACCCCTAGTAGAGTCAAAAGACAGATGCATTTCTAGCCTTAAATCTTTGAAAAGTGAAGGCTACAAGGCCTCGCAGTCTGTCCTCTGGACGCTTCTGGGATCTAGTGGTCACAACATATCTCTCAGAACCACTAAATGAGCCTTGGAAAAAAAAAAAAAGAAGAGTAATTTAAGAGCTGAGGAGAAATGCCAGAAGTGTCAGTGGTAGACATTCTTCTCTACTCCCAGCCCACCAGCCGTGCTCAGTGGGAGGTTTTCTTTCTGGAGCTGCATTAAAAACACTCTGTCCTGGGCTTGAGTTCCACATGCCCATGTTAGAGCTTGCCAGAAGGTACTCATTTTTATGCTCAATACAACAACTTGATTTCAAACTGGAAACCACAGACAAGCAGAATCTTCTGTCTCCCAAATAAGAAAGCCTAATTTCTACACAGAATCTTAACTTCTCCATGTCTCTTGAGACAATGGCTTAGAGGACCTAAAATAAAAAACTAGCTCAGTTGCCTCCAAGCCATCCATCCAAAATACTCATCTCACCAACAGGACTTAGGGTTGTGTAGCTGACTTTCAAGGGCTGTTAGTTAAGAGGACTTGATGTAGGGATGTGAGAGCCACAAAAATAATCAGGGATGTGTCGAGGCTCAGAGTGTAAAGGTGGGTCATCATAGGATGGAATATCTCTTCTGTAATGAAAGGTTAAGAGGGTTGAGATTGTTCACCTTGAGAAGGAGAAGGCTCCAGGGAGACCTTATTGTGGCCTTTCAGTACCTAAAGGGGGCTAAGAAAAAAGATAGGGACAGAATTCTTAGCAGGGCCTATTGTGACAGGACAAGGGGTAATGGTTTTAAACTAAAATTAGGGTAGATTTAGGCTAGATATAAGGAAGAATTGTTTTATGATGAGGGTGATGAAACACTGGAACTGGTTTCCCAGAGATTTAATTGAGTTAATGTCTCCAAAGGTATTAAAAAGACATGTAGATTTGGTGTTTAGGGACATGGTTTAGTGGTGGACTTGACAGTGTTGGGTTTATAGTTGAACTCAATGAACTTATAGGTCTTTTGCAACCTAAATGATTCAATGATTACTTTTGAAAACACATTGTAGACAGTAAGTGAGCCCTGGTTTGTCCCTATTTGCCCCTTCCCTTCTAAAAAATTCACCTATGTGTACCTAAGTTCAGTGCACACAAGCCTAAACCCTTCCCCCACTCCTTTGGAAGCCAGATGCATTTTTTTGGAGTAGTGGGGGTTTTCTTTTAATAAGGGGGTGAATTCATGTGAAGGCCAAGTGGTTTCCTATAAGAAACATTCATTCTCTCTGGAAAAAAGAAAGACAGCAGCATTCAGGGCAGTGCTTCTGCAGAACTCATCACTTCTTGAGGAACATCTTTCTGGGCAATTCTCTGAAGAATTCATTCAGAATAATTCAGAGAATCATTTCACCCAGTGACTTCAATTTATCCCATATAAACCAGTTATATCTAGAAAAGTTACAGTCAAACTCATGTGATGCCATCAATGATTTATGTGCAGAGCAGCAACAAACGAGTAATAAAGTTAAAAAGTAATGAGAGGTCTAGCAGATGGGCACAGCACCAAAATAAACATTCTGATAAAAACACAGATTCAGCAAACCACCAAACCCAACAGATTCTTGGGAGTTTGGCCTTATTTGGGTTAACTAAGCAAATTTGCTAAGAATGTTGTTAAAATATAATATGAAGGCACAGAGCATGCCAAGGAAAGTTCAACATAATCTGGATACGAGAGTATCAGGATATCAGAGAAAAAATGCAGAACATACCGTAGCTCAGTTGCACATTGCCCCCATCATAAAAACTCACAAATCCTTCTAGAAGAGTTGCCCTTTCCCACAATCCATGTCACTAAAACTAGATGCAGCAATGGTATTTGTGCACCCAGAGCCTTCAGCTGCTGTTCCTCACATCATGCCTTCACATTTTGTATGAAATTGCTTTTATTTCATAAAACTGGGCTCAAACTTGGGAAAAAAGTACAGTAATGCAAGTGTATAAAATACTGTGCCATGTTAATGGGACATGGCAACTTGGCAAATAACTTCTCATTAGTAAGATTTTTGGTCAACTTGGTTCCTGTTTTCTGCATCGGGATGGGAAATTTTAGATAAATAATACTTTCCTATTAGGGAATGTGATCTAATTATCACTGAGTAATCCAGTAGTAGTTTGGGTGCAGATTCTGAAACTCAGCAGCTCCCTTATTTCCCATACCCCAGAGCCTGGAACCTGCTCACAGATGAGGGAAGCGGGTAACCCATCCTTTTAATCAGAAAAGGACAGTCAGAGGCTCTACTCTATGATATTAAAAGA